TTATTTTGTACATGAAACCACATAAATTTAAATATAATAATAATACAATACAATACACTAAGCTACATATAGCAGTGCACTAGGCAAGTGGTCACTTTAAATTTAGAATAAAAGAGAAAAGAGATAAGAGATAAGAAGAATAATATAATAAAATCTTATATTGAGAGGACGGACGGTGTAAAAGATTATTGCCGCGTATGGAATAATAAAATATATCGGCTCTAGAAATCGGTATGGCAGTGGGTGCGTGAGTCCTAAGAATAAAAATAAGCGAGAAAAAAACAAAACGAAAATTCCATATAAATAAAAATAAAATAAAAGATTAAGAGAAAGAGGAAATAAGGGTACATATCTCGATATCTGACCGTTCGATCTCTCGGTCCGGGCCGCCCGTATATTTACATGTATAATTTATATACCCCGTCCGACGAAACCCAGGTTAAGGGCGGACACCAACGGAACCTGGAGATTTTAGTCTGCGTCCTCATGCGCACCACCTCCTTTACTTCTATTCGTTTATTATATTCGACCATCATATGCCTTTATTTTTATATTACTTTTCCCTTTAATTTTTAAATTTTAAATCTACCCGAGCTCGGATAATTTTCACGCACTATCTCACATTTAAATATTACACATTACACATAACACATATTATTCATATATTTACCACACTTAAATACCATTCATTATTACATGGTAATAAACTATAATAATAATAATAAAAATAATACATAATACATACAACCCACTCATACATAAATAATTTAGACAGCATATACAAATGTAATACATACAGGTTACATTATATTATAAGTATAAGATTACTTTTATCACACGTTATAACTATTACAACTCATTAATTTCAACTTTTAATTTACACATACTGATACGTTTATTACATTACAATAATTATATTGTTTTTATATTTTTTTTTCGCAATAATTCCAGTTTGGACTTTTCATTAAAATTCTTCCCGAAAAACGAGAGATTCTAGGGAATTTTAAAACTCGTATATCTTATCAACTATAAAAGATACGGTAAAATTGATGAGCATCTTTTTTTTTGTAGAGAATTAAATTTCCTACAAAAAAATTTTTATATAATTTTTTTGTATCTTCAATATTTAACCCAGACTTTTGATTTTTAACTTTTTTAAAACTTTTATTTTTTTTTTTTTTTTATAAAAAAAAATGTATAAAAGTTTTAAATTCAAAATATCTTCTAAACGATAAAATATATGGAAAAATTGTTAAAGACCTGTCTTATACACTGAGAAAAAAAAGTACTACTCTTGAGAAAATTTTCTTGTCACAAGAATATATCGGCTGCCCAATTTGAAAACACAGTAACTGCAAAATTTTTATACCTGATTTTTTCTAGTATTGCTGCATTTTTTATAACTTTTAGACCTTAATTTAAAGTATTTTTTCTTAAAAATATTTATATTCAAGTATTTTCTATTCACAAATCAAATTTTTCACCAAATCAATTTGGTGGGCAAACTTTTTTTTAATAAGTAAAATCGAAAAAAATATTTAAATGTTAGTTACTGTGTTTTGAAATTGGGCAGCCGATATATTCTTGATAATTTTCAAGAATATATTTCCTTGTCTCAAAAATTGATCGAATTATTTTTTGTTTAATTCAAGTGAACCTATTCATTTGTTAATCTATCAAAATTAATGCCAATATTTTATTATCATGATAGTGATATTGATATTATTTTGTCAAAAAACCAAAATTTACTTTAAACGATTCTTGAACCAAGAAATTTTTTTCTGGACAAAAATTTTTTTTTCTCAGCGTAGAGAATTAAATTTTCTACAAAAAAAGTCTTTTAAAATTTTTCAATCTTTGACAGCAATCGAATAAATATAAAAATAAAATCAGCATCGAATAATTTTCTTCCCGAATATACATCCAAAGAAGAAATTCATTAATTTGTTTAAAATGATTGCCTAAAAGAATAGTTATCTCTGAGAACAGCCAAAGTGTTGTTGATTCTCACATACCCGATATATCTCTAATTAGACATCTGAAAATCCGATAAGCTGCCGTGTCACGGAATACCTCGCCGATCGATAAGCTTGGATACTTAACGCTTTGGGTTAACTAAGAATAAATAAAAATAGCGTAAGAGCAAGAGCGGATAAAGCCAGCACCTCGAGCTCGTGGGATTTTAAACGGTTTAAATAATGCAAAAGAAACAAACCACCGCCCTCTTCTTCCTCCACCTTCGACCTTCCTCCATTCTAAATTTTCTTATTATAATTATTTTTATTTTTCTCGCGTCGTAACTTCCTCTTTTCGTTCTGAGCTCCCTCTCGACTCTCGACTCTCGACTCGACTCGACTCGACTCGACTCGACTCCACAATGTGTATTGTGACTGCAAGGGCGCAATTAATTACTGCGTGGCTGGAAGGTACCAAGCAAGCATTGTTGCATCTGTTGCGCTTCAAAGCAATCCTGTAGCTTCCTTTTCTTATTTCTTCCTTGCATCCTCGTACTCGTTTGACTTTATACACTTAGTACCCCGTACAAATACAAATACAAATACAAATACTAGTACAATGTGTGCTGTTGTTCACCATATCGGCATTCACACACTCGACCATCCGCCATCCGGCATTCACTTAACTCTTTTTAACACACTGCACATACATCCTCAAGAGTTACGCTAAGGTATGTAGTACACAAGAAGAATATAGTACTGGGACTTGGGACTACTTATTAAAGTAACTAATAAATTAAAACTGCGTATAAGTAGGTAGTTGTTACTGTTACTGTTATTCTTATCCCTCGTGTTCTCCGGGACCTCTGGTATATATTAACAACCGTACGAGGAGTAACTATGTTATGTGGTGCATCTAAAACTTAACTTACTACATCCCAACTAGCCACGATGTACGCCTAAGAAGCATTAATGATGTCCGGAGGGAGTTGCCAAGATCAAGGGAGATCTTTTAAATACTTCTTACACCATAACCAACCAAAGAGTAATTATGTTATTTTATTTTCATCCCAACTCCCCCTTTCCTTTTTCTTCATTTATTATATTATTATTTCTTCTTTCTTTCTTTCTTTCATTATTTTATTTTAAACCAAGTCTTTTTATGTCTCTGACGTTTACAACCCAGTAATAATACGGTATTGTATTGTATTGCGTGTATGTACCTGTTGTTTGTGAAAAATAGTTAAATTTGTTAGCAGTGAGACTCTGGATTTATTGCACGACTCATCACCATTAAAAACAAACTATTAATTGACTCAATTAAATTTCTTCTTGTGGTACTTATAATAAATCACCAGTTGAATCAACTTTTGTTTATTATTTACTTATTTATTTATTGGTGGATTTTATAAATATAAATATAAATAAGATAACCAGTTCCGCGTTAATTCGTGGTTGTATTATTGCGTGCAAGGTACAGTAATAAGAATTATAAACCTTATAGTCTTCTTATTCTTCTTCTACTTCTTGTTCTTCTATAGAGAGCTGAGATTTTGCGGCAGAACAAAAAGGCGGATGATGAAAGAACGACTGAGAGAAAGTAAATGAGCTGAAGAAAGAGGAGACGGTGTTCCTCACGGGCACAAACGTCGAATTACGAAACACCTGTTCCACGAAATAACTTCATCGGACTGAGTGCATTCGTACTTAAATTCGTGGTTGTTGGTGAGCCCTTTGGCTTCTGTTATTTTATTCTTATTTTTATTTTTGTTAAAAGCGAGATAGAGTGAGCTGTACGTGATTACTCTTAATTCGTCGTCGGAATTCAACTCGGTCTACATACCACTAAATCCAATACATATTGACCCTCCAGAGACTCGGTTTTTAAACCTTACAAGCTCAGTTGATGTCCGAGCTATCGTATGATCCTCGATGGTGCAGCAGATGTGGGTGAATGGGAGGGCCCAGATTTACACTCGATTAGATCTGAGATTACAAAAGTTCCCCGGCGTTGTTATTATTATCATCCTCTTCTTTGCTTCTTTGGTTAAAAAAGCTTGAGTTATCATCTACGACCTTCCTGCGCAGCGTCTTCTTCCCTGTCGCTCGGGCATTCCAGTGTATTATTACTAGAGGCGGTTGATATTACGTGTCTATTAGGTTCCAATGGGTGCTCATTCATGCGTGCCAATTTTAAACAACCTTTGAAAAGTTAAACCGACGTATAACGAGTACGAGGTGTTGTTATTACAAAGCTCTTTGGCTTTTTAGAACAATTTTCACATTTTTTTTTAATAACAAGTCTCCGCTGGACTAGTATTATTCATATTACTATCATTACGCGTCTCTAAAGCCAAAGGTCTAAAAAATTTATAAAATAATCAATAAAAAAAAAAAATAACAAACAATACTTTTACAATTGCACACAGAGATAAAGTTTTACTTGAATCAAATAAAATATTAATTTTTTTTTTTTTTTAATATTTTATTGAGTCAAAATTTTTTTCTTTCTGTGTATTTAAAAAAAAAATTTATACCCCTTTTTTAGGCATTAAAGACGCGAATTATTTATCCAATCGATTTCAAAGAATCAGCTAATAAATATTTAAAAAATAAATTTATTTTTAACTGGTCTTTTTAGCTTTAGCGCGAAATAAAAAAAAATATTTAATACCAAAAAAACATTTATTTTAGTTACAAACCTTTTTGGTATAAAAAATTTTTTATAATAAAATACTTGAATCTTTCTAAAGCAATAGACAATTAACAAAATAGCATGAATTTTTGGTATTAAATACGGAATAATTACAATAATTATAAAAACAATAAGCAGCAGCAATAATAAATGTTAAAATTTTCGAGACGACTTGTCAAACAAGTGTTGTCTCCCACAGCCTTGTTGGTTATATTCTTAACATGTTAGTCTTGTTTCTTCTTCTTAACAAAACACATAGATCTAAATGGTCGGTGAGCTGGCTGTCTCCCTACTTAAATCCAATTAATTAGCGTAATCTAACTAGCCCTGCAATTTCTCTGGGAATATAATTAAATGTAGTCGGACGGTGTCGTTGTCTCGGTAATGGCAGCTAACCGGTACGGAGGCTCCGTCGTCGTGTTTGCTTGATGACACGTTCCCGTTTGCGTCTGAGTTTGCATGCTCGAGGCGTTTGTATGAAGCGTCACTCCTGAGGACTGCTGGTGGTTGTTTGCCGAGTTTGAACTCAGGTCACTGTAGTACGCGCTGCTGGGCGCGCTCGAGAGAAAGGGCCCGTCTAGGTCCGCGTCGCTTCCCGTGTACGCCGTGTTCTGGTAGGACGGGTTCACCTCGCTCCCAGCTCCCGTTCTCAGGTGGTGGTGGTGGTGATGGTGGTGCTGGATGTGGTGCTGGTGACTCGGGTGCTGGTGACGACTCAAAGACAACGGCGTTGATGGTCCGTTCTCGTACATCTCGTAGTCTGGCTCTTGTAACCTGAAAGTTTTATTAAATTTATTAAAATTTTTTTCTCGTCAATTTTAATTAAAAATTTTTTTTTTATACTAATTAATTTTATTTTATAAAATTAATAATACCGGGTATTTGTATAAGATTTTACCTTAATTAAAATTACAAACAAAATTTTTATTGTAAACAGTTATTGGCATCTTTTTCGGACCCTGATCTCAAAGTAGTGCTTCAAGGCAACCATCATAACTCTTTATTAGCTCATTTAGAATCAATCAAAGAAAAAAAATTACTAGTTTAATAGAAAATCTATTAGATCGGATTTTTTTTTCTATTTTGAAAATTAATGAAAAATTACAGCCTCTAACAGTTTACTCATGAATTTTGTCAAAAAAAATAATAGTTTATTATCAAAAATAAATCAAAATTTCCAAAACAAAAATTCTTGAATCAAGTACTACTTTTTTATATTTTTAATTAATAAATGGTAATTATTTACAAGTGGGGTCAACCCATGCTAGCCCGTGTTAAATTTTTTTTTTTATCAAATCGATCAATTTTTTTTTTTTAATTGTTTGTTTTTTTCATGTACTTTTTTTAAAAAAAAAGATAAAATAGAAATTTTATGCAAAAACATGAGAGTCAAAATTTTTTTCAACTTTTAAAGGCAAAAAGCTATCGAAATCTTTATTTTTTCCTTTCACGACATTTTTATCATGAATGCGCCGTAAAAACAATCATAATAAAAAAAATTTTTAAATGTTAATTTTTCACCTAGTTATGGCTCAAAATGGAATTGACCTCACTTGTAAATAATTACCGAAAAAATTTTTCTTCAAATGTATCGAATATTTCCTAAATAAAATTAGTTAGCGGCTTTGAAAATATATAATAGCGACTTGCGTATTTTAAATTTTAGTCTAAAAAATTTATAACTCAACAATTAGTTAAAAATAATTCAAATTGATCAAAAAAAAATTAACTCACTCCAAAAAAAAATTTTTTTTTTTTAATTTTTTCTAAGCAATAGTTCAACTCGAATTTTGTAGAGTATCTCGGAAAATATTCATTTCATTAACTTAAAATTTTCAAGAAATATTTTCGAGCTATAATACTTCAAAACAATGCAACAAATAAATTTTTTTAATCCTGACTGCATTTAACCTTTTAAATCAAGAATGAATAATTACTACAATTGTTAATAACAACCTTTGATTGTGTCGCCTTTCCTTAAGAGTCCCAGTTTGGCTGTCACCGCTGTACCTACGATGCAGCCTCGCAGCATCAAGTTCATGGTACTCGTCTTCTTCCTCATCACCAGGAGTAGTCGCTCGGCCGCCGTAGGTCGAGCTTCCTCTAAGCTGCAGCTGAAGATCGCTGGCGTAACTCGCGGTTTGCGAGTCTAGTTCCGCGTACAAAGCCTCGTCGGTTTGCATGTGGGTGTAATGATTCTCCACAGGAAGATTCATCGCACACCGATGCGGCGGTAAACTCAGGGGGGTTGCTACTACTCCTGCTGCGCCTCCTCCACGTCTAGATCCTAACCAGGACCAGACATTGTGACCTGTTAATTTTAATTTCATCAATTAATAATGGTAATTAGTTTTATTAATTTCTGTCAGATAATTTTCATTCATTCTAATAATGATAATTTGATATTAAATATTACTTAATCCTTTATTTTGACATTATTTTTATTGATAATTTTAGTCATCATAACGTTAATAATGAAAATAATGTAAAAATTAAGGACTGGGCAGGCTTTAGCAGTAAATTATTTTTTTACAGATTTAACAATCTTGTGCTTGATAACTGTTAATAATTTTAAAAAATCAATAAGTGACAGTAATAATATTAAAATTTTGACCGTTCAAAATTAAAAATAATAAAAGAATATAAAAATTAGTACACAGAGAGAAAAAATTTCTTTTGAAAAAAATTAGCAATTTTGTGATAAGAAACTAATTTGTTGAAAATTTTTTGCAATTTTATTTCTTAGCTGAAGAAATCAAAATTTTTACCACGTAAATTTTCTTGTTGAAAAAAAGTTTTCTAGTTTTGCGAAAAAAAACAATTTTGGATGAAAATGTTTTTTTTTTTTTTTTTTTTTTTTTTTAAA